ACATTTTGGAGTACGAAAGTTTGCGTGGATAATTTTTGTGGAGAAAGGATTTCTTTTATACGAACGAGGAAGTTTTGAAAAATTGAACGAATAGAAAAGTTCGAGGCATAAAATAAAATTATGTTTCTATGTTCAAAGTAAACATAAATTTACAGTTCTGGAGAATTTTCTTTTCTCGGGGTCATTATATTCTACGCAAAGTAAATCTTCAAGTGATATTAATGTCAAGAGTCAAAGGGTTAAGCAGGGTGAAAAGGAGCTTATGTAAGATGAAAACAATTAATCATTCTCTGTGATAGAATCTCTTGCATACAGATGCGATAATTCTTTTTCCTTATTCGTGTACTGCATATTTATAGAAGCTTCATGGTCGAAAAAGAATTATGAAGAACGAGATGAAAAGCAAGCGAAAGCTGTTCTCAAACCTGCAACCCATTAAGATAGAAACTTGTGCATCCTTGGTTCCGTGCTTCCTACTCGTCTTTCAAAGATGTGGCTTAAAACTTCGGCCTCTGGTAAGGAAGTATAAAAACTTTCGTAGTGTATGGTGAAACACGAGATCCTACCGTTGTACAGTAGAATTTTAAAGACTGTATGGGTTTTTAAGTGACAGTCCTCACCCTTTCTTCGTTTTTCTTTTTTTAAATTTAAGCTCTAAATTTATCCTGCATTATTACTATAAAAATCAGGGTATTCAATTGTTTTCTTTAAACTTTCATTAGTAATTCTAGTGGGAACTTGGAGTATTCGATAAAAAAAATTGTATACTTGAATAAACATCGACGTTCCCATCCCTGACGTTTCCATTTACGTAGAGACTTGATACATCGACAAGCACGTTTCCGTCTACAATACTCGAGGGTTCTGTCGACAGAGAGACGATGATTCTCCACGAAACGGGGCTGCTGGCATCACGGAATTAGCATGAAAAGCGGCGGCCGCCTAATCCAATGCATTTCCCGACGTTCACGCTTGTCGAATGCACTTCCGTGTCTGCACGGTGTATGCAACGGCTTACGTCGACGTAGAGTCGTGGATATGTACGTGGCACGTGCTACGCGATGCTCGCTAACAACAACCAGTACATAACCCACCCATGGTTTGTCGAATAATTTATTTGCCAGGGTAATGAACCGTAAAACCATTCGCGATCTTCGATCGTAAAAATAATTAAAATTTCTCGACGATCAGGAAGATGCCACCCATTAAAGAAAAATAACAAACTTGTAATCCATTTAATTGCCTGGCGTCAAGTTTAAAACGAGAAATTAATTTTGTAATTCTCGAAGAGCCGGAAGAAGAAAAAAAATGATCACGACACCGATCTCATTGGACTCGAAGAAAGTAAATCAGTTTTCCAACGTGCCGTTATTAATATAATTCAAAGTTCCCCGGCAGATCTTCGTAAAATTGATTTGTACCGTAATATAACTTCGGTCCAAGAATTATTATCAGCAGAAGAAGGAGGAGAAGGTGGAAGTTTTCAAAGCGGAACGAAGCAGAAGAAGTGCCGGCAAGTTATATCAAGGGTAAACTCCAAAGTTTACAGGTGAAAAAGAAGAAGACTGTTTTGAAATGTGTTAATGCCTTGGACGTTGGCGTGTAGAGCAGTTGGCGAGAGCTTTTCCGGAGAAGTTCACGGTGGATAAAGATGCAGAAGGGTATCGGGTTGCGTGCCGTGGGGGAAATTCTGTCAGATAACGCGAGAAACAAAAGGACAGAAGGAAAGTTTGTTTTCTTTCGTTGGTCGAGGAAAAATTTCGAAATCTCGACGAGACAAAGGTAGGTACTTTTCAGCTAACCAGCTTGAAGAGAGCAGATTTCCTTTAGAACGGTACGATTTCGAGTGAACGCGACGGTGTTACAGCTTCAGCCAGGTGTAAACAGAATCTTCTGGCGATGCTCGCTTACACGCCTCGACAACGAGGATCGAGCTTTTTCCAACCCAGGCTGAAACTCGACGCGGCTTTAATAAACCGTGGACGTGAAACGACCGTTTTTCAACGGGATTTTTTCCGCCCCGCGACAAAACAATGTACGCTGAAACGCGAGAACGCGCTGCACTCTCGTTGAAACGCGCTTTGCTTGGAAAGCAAACGGAGAGCTTCGCGTTCTGTTTACGCGCGAACAAGTGAGAAAGAAAAAAAGAATTAGTCGTTGTTAACTACTTGCGTTGAAAATCAATACCGGCGAGTACAATCAAGAGGAAAGTATACAACATCGTCGGGAAAATTATTAAAACGTCCTGGAACGATCTTCGAATATTAATCGCGGAAAAAATGAGCGCACGGTCTCGAGCGAATTACAACCCCGAGACGTAGCGAACGTACGAGCGAATGAAATCTAGCTATGACCAAACACGAAAAAGGCGTATCCTTCTGGGAAGTGGAAAGCATTGCCAAAGAATGGGGCCGAGCATAACTACAGTGTCTGAAATCGAGCCAGTTCTTTCGCTCTTACTATTCATACGTTCCGCTTTTCACCTTCTGCTTGCCTTTTTCTCAAATGATATTTTTGTTTCAACACAGTTTGCCAACGTTCGCGCGTCCTCTATCCTCAAGACGAACGGAGGTGACATTTTGCGTGACCGTTTTAGAAAATTGTTCAATCTTTTAAACGATTTTGGCGTTATTGCAAACAATAACGATTGATCAAATTATTAATTTTGGCAAAAATTTCTACCGTATTGCTTTATTCATTTTATAAGACCACGAAAAAACCCCAACGAAATTATCTGAAAGGATAAAAAGTTCCAAGGGTCGGGGTTATTCCCTTATCGGTCGATGAAAATGTAATTTGAGCAAAATAAATATTAGCGAAGGGGGAGAAAGAAGTTCTTCTTTTTCCTTCGATTTTGATATAAGATCACGAAACGGCAACAGAGGCTTCGTGACGAACGAGCGTTCGATCGAAGTAGATTGGAGTCGCGACGTGCGTCGCGCGAACTGCTCGGAATAACGAGGAATAATCGCGGGAAATTCAATCGAAAAGCTGCATTATCAACGCGAGAATAGCCCGGGAGTACCCACTTTCCTTAACAAGCGGCTCCGCCCATGATCGTGCGCGTAATTGCCGGCTGGGAAATAGCGAACGCCTTTCGAGCCGATTAATTCGTCCGATCGCTTGACAAACTTGTTAGCAGAAAGCTTCGCCGTCGCGAACCGTTCCATTTCATCTTCAATTTAGATCAAAAAATTCTAATTAATAACCTTAGGTAGCTCGAAAAATATCGTGGAATTTCCGAATTTTCCCTGAAGCTATTCGACACATTATTTCGACGCATCAAAGAGGGAAAACGAAGGAAAGGCGATCTCGATTATGCGCGATAGATACGATATCCGTGACGAAAAGTTTTCCATGCGACTTTCGGCGAGTTTATCAATAAGGGAAACCCGAGCCTCCGGAAACGTTCTGTTGAAAAGTTCCGCAAGGTTGGATATAAAGCGAGATGTTCGAGGAATAAGAAATATTGAAGTTCCTGAATCAAGTTGGAAATGGCTTTCCTCGCGACGTAAGGGGATTATTCGTTCTGAATCTTCTTCGAACCTACGGATGTTGAAGCGTGTTTGCCCAACACTCCGAGCTTTCACTTTAAATATTTTCCTAAGTATTATGTAAAATACGCGTTCGCTGTTGTAACAGCGTAAATGTTTTTAATCTTTCGATTTCCGGATGGAAATTCGTTGCCTGCTTTTTACTCGAAGAGCTCGTCAAATTTTTAACGCCTTTCCGACTCGACTCCTGATTCCGGCTTTGGCGTCGATCCTCTTATACCGTTCCCGATTAAAGGCGTTCCTCGTCGAGTTAGACGCGTAAAGTCAGACGACACGCGATGGAACGAGCACATTCGTCGACGTGCGAGCAAAATATCGAGCGTGGAACAAGAAAAGCCACTTGGAAGACACAGCCTCCATCAGCTCGCTAGCTCGCGCTCCTAATGGATTAGCCGACGCTAATGCGAACGAGGTTCGCGGTTACCGCGAGAAATACTCGCAAGAGACGCGAAAATGTAAAGTAGCTTTCGGGGATATTCGTCGAAATTCTCCGTGAAAACGTGCCTCTATTACGCGTTTTCTCTGTTTACTTTTTGCAGCTTCAATCCACGTGGAATTATAATAATTTTCTTCGAAAGTCTTGAAATTTAATTTGAAACTTTCACGAAGATTCATTATCCAAGATTCCTTCGATTGTATTCGAGAGAAGAAACGAAGCATAAAGATTTAACAAAATGGAACCAGTAACGTGTAATTCCATTTTCAATTTTGGAACACGACAAACGTCCTGGTAATAAATGGAATTGCTAACAAATGAAAGCACAAAGAGTGCACAGAATCGTGCTAGCACGCGTAATCCCATTTTGGATTTTGGAACGCGACTATCCATCCCTCTAAAAGTAGATCAAACTGGTGACAAATCAAAGCACAAAAAGTTAACGGGATAAAAGACAACGATGTAATAGAATTTTCAACTTTTTTGAACATGTCTGACAAAATCACGTTGTTAATAACTAGATCACCGATTGATTCTTTTAGTTCATTTGCGATTCTTCTGATTCAGAGTGTTTCTATTCTGTTGAAAATTCTTGAAAAATACCTTTCATTTCTATTTTCATACAAGAAACAAGCTGCATCGATGCATCGTTTCCCTCTCGAGAGTTCGCTCGTTTCCGAAAGATGTTTTTGGTGTTTCTTTGATCATCGCGACCGCCATGGGTCCGACATCCATTTTTCACGAGGTACCTTTCACCTCGACGATGATTTATCGTAGGATCGTCGAAAAACTTGCTAATACGTGGACCCTGCGCGAAGATGCACGCCTGGAAAGAACGATGCAACCACCACGAGTGGATAGCTGCGATTTTTCCTCGAGAATTAATCTCTTTCGTTATTCAATCGTTTTCTCGAAGAAATTCGACAAGAAAATCCCAAATAACGAAAATGGCAAATTTGACTAAATATTACAATCGAAATAATCACGAAGAAGAATATCTGTACACTCACCGATTTTTCGTCGTTGCCTGGAGAAGCTCGACGCATCAGTCATCTCGTTTGCTGAGGAAATCCTGGCGTCCGGTAGTCTGTGACAAAATAATTTTCCTCTTAGAAATGGAAAATCTCTATTTATATTTAATTTCAGAAGCAGCCACGCCAGTTGTTTCAGCGTTGAAGAAGCATCGAACCGAGCTGGCCATCACGCTCGTGCAAACTTTCGCACGTGTTGCACCGGAAGTTCGTAGCGTTTCACGGACCGATAAAATCTCAATTATAGTTGCTGGCGTGTGTCCTACGAGGCGCCGGTTACCCTCCACGGATGAACGTTATCGCACCTCGCAATTTACCACTTCCTAACCTTAATTTCGAGTTCATTAAAAAATTAGGACCATTGTATTCTCGTAAAGTCTGAGCGCGCCAGCTGCCTTTCCTTCTGCTTTGCCACGGCGTGCAATGCGTGTAAGTACTTTATATGATGGCTATGTTTTCTCAAGTTTACGAGCTATTAACACGGAGTAGTTTTCGAGCCAGTGAAACTACAATGTGACAAGATCGTAGAGTACACGGACAATTAGATGGCTGGGAAATTGCCACGTGAAAAATTAATTAGATTTTTGATGACGAATAAATTGATCAAAATAACAAATTAAATATTTTCTACAATTCACTTTCCAATTATCATTTTCTATCGTTTCTAAAATCAATCCCATTCATTCGCTGCTGAATTCGGACTTAGATGGAACGAAATTAACAGCGGAACACGCATTAGCACACCATAGTTAGCGGGAACCGTAATTAACATAGCTGGAATCGCAACGCGCTCCGACGAAAATCCAGCCCGCTTATCCTGTCGATAAAATCTCAATTAGGGTTACCGCTGGCAACACGGTGAGCAAGGCGTTCGCGGATCGACACAAAAGCGACATAATCGTCGAACAGATAGATAGGGAAAACAAGAGAAGGGCAATTGACCAGCGATCGTATTGGTTAATGGTGCAGCCGTTGCAATTTTGTTGGCAACACACGATTGCACAATGAAGCTTCCTATCTGTAAGCCAGATTTAAGCGCTTACGTAAAGATAGCACGTAGCTGTGCTTCAACTTTATCTCCTTTCGCGTTGAACACATTCCATCAGTCTGTTTCCCTACTAAAAACGATATTTCTATCATATTTTACAATTACTTCAATTATTTATTAATTTTTCTCTTTATTTAATGTTTATTGTTTTACTGTATTAGTTGCTAAAATAATTTAAAAAATTAAAATCGAACAACATAGGAGAGACTTCTGCTTGCTTACTTATGCATTCCTGATCAAAGAAGATTGCTGAACTTAAATTTCTGTATTTGATAGTACGCTAAGGATCAACACTCCGACGATAAATTTAATCTCTCCTTCCTGGAGCAACATTTTCAAAGGATCTCGATTGAACACGATATACAAAGTTCCGATGCACCTTTCAATTTCGATCACCGCTAACTCTCATTTACGACCTGACAACTTAGAGGTGAACCTTGTGAAAGTGATCTGAAGTTGCTGGAATTAATAGCGAAGATGATGAAACGATTACTCCGCAGGCTATAATTATCCACCACTAGAAATTTCTTATATATTAATGCGTTCGTTATTAACGACGATAACGAGTTAAAGTCGTCTGAAAATGAAATTCACCTTATTATCCGTTCTTAAATAAATAAAACCGACCTCTCGAGGCCGGTTCGTCGAGCCACTCTTCGTCCGGCATGCTGAAATTACCATTTCAATAGTACTTGGCGATTCAACGAAAGACGGTAACTAGATATATCGTAAATTTCGTGACTAGATGCTGTAGACTCTCCGCGAGGAAGATAAAATCTCAACGAGCTTCAGGAACGCGTTACTTCGACCGAGAAGACCTACCAGCTCGTTATCAGCTCCTTCGCGAGGATTTACCAGAGGGGCCATCGATATTTATAGCACCATCTCCCTATGTATTCTACCGTTCAAGCACTTGCACTTTTTTTTATATAAAGAATCTCTCGCGTATCCTTTCCATCGAACGCTATATCATTGATTATCATCGCGTGAAAATAACTGCTTCCTCCTTGTCGCTTACTCGCACGCGAGTGCGATCAATCACGGTCGTGCTTATCGTGATTAATCGCGACGTCCAAGACGCCTGACACGAGAAAATTCGCGATACACCGAATTTAAATTTCCGATGAGCGAAAAATCGAAATCGTACGAGACGCGGTGGCATACTTCGTGCAAAAATGACGAATTGATAAGAGACATTTGGTACGTTGTTTCCAACTTTCAACAGCTGATAAATCACGTCGATTCGTTCTCGGAAACATAGTTCAGCTAGGAGAGAAAGATCTCTATGATAGACGTATCGTGAAACGAGATGAAATTAACGCGTATTTTCCAACAGGCAAACATTTTCATCCCGGAACAAATTTTCCAGACACAAAAGAACGTGGAAAAGAGAGAGAAGAAAAACGATCCCGCGGGACTCGTCGGCCAATAAAGAGCGTTAATAACGATAATCGTTTGGTAAGTAGAGGGGTGGGTACGCGATATAACACCCTGTCAGATCCATTATCTGAAATTTTTTGTCATGCTCATCGTTATGCATATACTTATTAAACGGAAATATAGGGTGGGTTGACAGGATGAACAGGGGTAGATAACGTGGCTAAAGCGATAATTACGAGTGCACGTTTGGGGATATGTACACACAGAGATCGATGCAATTATTCTTTGTGACATTTTTCTGTGACTGTGAAAATACGCATCGTCGAATTTTGCATTGGGAATTGCGTGTAAAGCGAATTCTGCCATCCGGCAAAGTTATTCGTTGCCGATATCGAGGATAAATCGATTTATTTCGTCGCTATTGGGAACGATATATTCGAAAAACGGCCGTTTTGTTCCTGGATAATATTGTTCGTGTTTATTTTTTATTTGCATTCTATTTCATTGGTTATCTGATCGTATTCATAAATCAGGTCGGCTGAGAAATCTTGCTTCGAAAAAGCTTTATTGATTTAATAATATTGTTCCATTTGAATTCTTTTTTATACGACTTCACGGATCTTCCTCGGCTTGATATTTTTATTATTTTTACCGCTGCAATTTATGACAACACCGCAATGTTTACGAAACAAAAGAATTTCAAAAAAACCAACACAATGGGAGCCCGCCAAAAATCATAACTTCTGTTCTGTTGATCAAAAAATATTTTTGCTTTCACTCTGACGCTTTGACATCCACCTCACACGTACAGTTAAAATAATAAAAGAAACTGTTATTTGACTAAAGCTCAAAACCAGGTCAAATTGAAAGAATATCACGATAAACGTCTGAAATTCATCGTAACTTTTGTCTAAATTAATACAATTATTTAAATGAAATCTAACAGAATCACTGGATGTGACTGATACGAAAATAGAGAAGAAAATAGCCGGAATAAATTCCTCCAGCGTAACAGAAGGAAATTCGCAGCTTCTGCCACACCCCGGTTCAAGATAATAAGCTAAATAATTAATTCTCGGAATAATTCGCAAGCGTTTAAGTAAATTCACTGAAGCAGAATGCAAACGACTGAGAAGAGAGGAAAGATATTCACGAACAACGGTCTTAAGAGAGAAAATTTAGATCGTAATTTTCGGAAAATCAAAATGCTGTTTCAATTTGTGTGACGAACACTTAACTCTCCGTCCATTGCGAACGGTAAAACGTCTGTTGACCTGGAGTACTGTCACTTGACATACAGTATTTGTCAAGAGTAATTCAATTTCATTACATTTCGAATGGTACATATTTTATGTAAATATTAAACGAGTAATGAAATTTTGTTACATTACGATGAAATAATTGTGTTTGTTAATTTCTGATCCCAATTTCTAATACAATTCTATGGAAAACGAGTTTCCATACACCGTCTCGGATATCGTCGACCTCTTCTACTTAAGTTCCACGTATCCTGGTAATTGCATTATAAGCAGATTGAAAAGTTGCACGAACAAACTTCCTAAGTAGCTGTTACCTGCTAGATGTTCTTTACCAAATGATATTGTCTCTCTTGTTACTACCTAAAGTCGCGAAACTTCTTTCAAGCCTCGAAACACGATTTTGAATAGAATACTTTGAACGCGTCGCTCGTTAAAGAGCTTGTTGTTTTCGCGATTCTCCGCACCGTCTGCTTAGAAACCATAATTAATCTTCTTGTTGATTCATTTACAAAAGTAGAACCGTTACTACAAACCACTGTCAACGTGTTACTTCGATTAACAGATATCCGAACAGTAGAAGCACAAGAGAAAAAGGGGAACAAGTAAAGAGTAGAAGTGTCAGAGGGATGATTTGTGATTCCCAGGACATCGATGTTCTACGAAAACAGGGTGTCCCTTTGGTCCCTTTTCAATTTTGTCGCCTGCGCGACGCCTTGCAAGTCATGCCAACTACATTCCTCAAATTCTTCTATTCCCTTGCTGGAAATTTTAATTTAATCCACCGAAGAAGAAGAAAGGAAATCGATGAGTTACCAAAGATAAAGGCTCCCCAAACGAAGCGAGAAATGAGAATGGCTTTTTAATTGAAGTAAAATCGCCTTGAGAGATCACGATGAATCGATATCGAACGAACGGGGAACGTTTCGAGGCAAAAGCCAGGAGAGTTGCTCGTTCGGGGACACACGTAGCGAAAATTTTTCCAATAAATGGAGCCATGATACTGCCAGAAAAGCAATTTCTGACTCCCATTTCTCGCGTTCCCCCACCATTCGATGGATCCATGTATCAGGAATTCGGTTCAAGTTATCTCTGATCCATTCGGAACGTCATCTAATACGTGGATGCATTATTGCATCCACCGTACACACATGGTAGATAGGATACCGTTTTATAAGTGTCTGATCGTAAACACTGCACCGAAACTGAACAAAGCTAAAATTTAGGAGGCGAATTCAATTAAGTCGTATCTTTCTGATATCCTGTGCTGGTATGTACCTCGAAAACACCAAACATGTAAATATTGATGAATAAAATATCGCTAGATCCAAGCTGGAGAAATGGTTTTCTATAACGGTACGCTTAAAAATAA